GGTGATTGGCCCAAAGTCTGCCAGTCAGAATTCATGCTAAGGGGGGACTAGAACTCACTGTCTCCTAGTGATTGCCCCAAAGTCACCCAGGTGGCTTTCATGCTAAGGGGAGGACTAGAACTCACCATCTCCTAGTGGCGATGATCTCTAGCTCCCTCTTATGGCAATTCACAATACAATCAACCAATCGGAACATAGTACAAATCAATGCAGCAACTTTGTCTTAAAGCTACAAACATACATTGTTGGTTTATATATTGCCAACCCAACTAATTGGTGGACAGATTCCTAACAAAGTCCACAGGTATTAAAAGTTACAAAGATTGGACACAACCTTACTTGGTTGTTCTAAAGGTGAAATGTAAACAAGGACCTCAGAACAAGCCATTATTTCGTACAGGGAATGAAATCCTCACATTATATCCGTTTTCTAGATTCTAGGATCAGATCCAGGAATGTGCTTCATTTATGAACCAGGCCTTACCTTGGCTTGCACAGCGTAGGATGCTAGAAGGACAGAAGCTTCCGGAGGACAGTAGATCTTCTCATCCAAGATCTGTTTCTTCACCTGAACGAGGCAACAATGAAATGCCAAGACGGTGAAGAAGCAGCTTCCAACCAGCCGGTTAATTACCAATTATAATTCTTAAGCTGCCATCCTGAATGTACATATAATTACCAAGCCTTCACTGAACACTTGAGGGACTTATTATGGAATATACAAAGCTCCCCAATTTTTTTTTTAAAGAAATGTCAGTTGCAGAACCAAGGATGCAACAGGAATGTTTGGGGAGAACATTCAAGTTCCCCCAAATCAGAATTTCCAAAGAGGTTTTGCAGCTTTGTTGAAATGGCATAAAATATGAGCAGATACGTCGTGCCTAATCAAAATTTTCATCCCAGCACCCATTTTAAAAGCAAGATTTTAAAAGGTGGTGCAACCCAAGTTGTGTTTGGTGCTCCCTGTTCCAAATCGATTCTACTTTTATTTCACTAATCTTTTAGCCATCTCTGCTCAGACATGGCTTAACATGATCATCAATCTCATTTTATTCTCTCCGCCATGAATAGAGAACAGATTTTTTTTTCTTCTTCTTCTTCCTACAACAGGGGTCTGAAACTCGATCTGCTGTACTTTCTAATACATATGTAAATTAAAAGATTTAATACATTCTTAAGAGCTCTTTAGAAATGCATAACGCACCTCTCGGAAAGGAATAACCAAGTTTGTTTTGGCTGGCTCTATTCTTTTTTAAACACCATTTTAATTGGTTTTTTTTCTTTTTAATACAAGAAAGTTTGCAATATCCTGGCAGGAACATACTGTATGACTGAAGGAACAGGGAGCCCAGAATGTTAATAATTTTGTTCTAAGCTCCAATTAAGCTTGGCTTGCATCTATTTCTTAACCTCAGATAACACTGAGACAGTGTTATGTGCCCCTTATTAAACCGAAGAAGTTTGTGGCTATGTAAAGATTTCACTCCCTTATTTTTCCAGCTTGTCGGACTGTGCACGACGTACGAATATGAAAACTGCGTATACTTTTCTCTGCGCAGGGATGAAACCGTGGCTCCCATTTTGCTTCCTCCCACCAGCAGCGGCTGTGGGATTTGCATCCCCAACATAGGGTGCATGGAACATTTTGTCTAGAGGTCACCTCCCCTCCCAACTTTTACACAACCACAACTGAGAGCAGAATTTCCATCGCTAAGCGAGACCTTCGGATTTTACAATCTGAAAATGCCTCTCCGGAGGCTGGGCAGGTATCACACTGCCCCTTATAAAAAGGCCTTACCTGTAGGAAGAATAGGTGCTGGGTGATTTCCTGGACCAGCTCTTCTTCTGCATTCTCTGGGTAAAACTTAGCCAGGAAGTAAAAAGTAACTGGTTCCTCCTTTGGGACATCATGGTCCAGCACCTGCAGAAGGATGAAACACTCCGATGAAACGCTCCAAATCTTTGCAGAATTTCTCTTTTATTACTCTTCGTCTAGGTTGGTTTAAGAAGGCATGGTTTAGGGAACAAACCGCAGTTGGCAGGGCTCGCAGGATATAATAAACCATGGCTTAAAATCACAATCCCCTCATCAAGAAAGAAGTAAGCCTGTAGCACAAGGGTCTTCAAACTTGGCCAAGTTTAAGACTTGTGGACTTCAACTCCCAGAATTCCTGAGCTAACATGACTGGAGGAGGAGGAGGAAGAATTCTGGGAGCTGAAGTCCACAAGTCTTAAAAGCTGTCAAGTTTGAAGTCTTACCTGTACTGTGTTTTTGTAGTTCGTAAGCCACCTAAGGTCACACTGAGTGAGCAGGCGGCTATATAAATGTTCGAAATAAATAAAAATAAAATTCGCCCGACCCACCTCGATCAAAAACGGTCCTGGCAACCATTGCACTTTTTTTTCCTTTGGTCTTATGTTAAAACTTGTTATTTTCAGATGCTCCCAAAGATGCTCCCAGGGTCTTTACTAATTAGGGAACGGCAGCTGGATGAGAAAGCCACAAGATGCTGGCAGTGACCATGGAGCACATTGTCACCTTCAGCAGGTGTTCCAGCAGCTGCTGGAGAGTCTCATTAGTCTGTGCAGACGTGTCCAATTAGAGGAAGAGACATTGAAGGCCTTATCCTAACATTAATGCATTGAGGATCAAAGGTTACCCAATTTTGGCAGCTTGAAAACAGACTAAGGTGAGACCGTGTATTCGCTTGTCCTCCAAGTAAGCTGCACAAAACTGTTTTTTTTTTAATCCAAATCAACCCTTGGAAAAGACTTTCATGGTTAGGGTAGGTTAAAAATGGACGGTACAATTCTTTGTCGTTTCGAGGTGGGGAAATTGGTAAGTTCTTAAATTAGGTAGGCTGTATTATTATTATTATTAAAGAGAATGTCTATGGGGATTCTTAGTCCTCCATGGTTGTCCCCAAAGTGCTTTTTTTCAAGAGATAACTGGACTTTCTTGGCTTTTCTTTGAAGACATTTCGCTTCTCATCCAAGAAGCTTCTTCACCCTCCAGTCATCACTCACATGGCACCTTACAAATGTATCTCTGATGAAGGCCCACCTCTGGACCAAATCAAGTTGGAGAACCCACTTGGTGCAATGAGTCTTATCTTTCTTCTAGACCAGGGGTGTCCAACCTTGTTCTTCTGGCTTTGCTATACCATAATCTACTTTTAGTAAAAGTAGAGCTTTCGCTACAAATGGGAGTCGAGGGTCTTTCTTTGCTAAGGGACCAAGTTGGGGCAGGTCTGACACAATCCATTCCACCTTCCTGGGGGCTGCCCCGTTTCCTTGCTCTTCTGAAACCAGCCGATCTCCGTCAGGATCTAAGGCAGGGGTCTCCCAGCCTGGCAACTTACAAGGCTGGTGGACTTGTTGGTGGGGAAATCCTGGGAGTTGAAGTCCACAAGTCTTGCCAAGGTTGGAGGCCCCTGTTCTAGACATTTGCGCTTTGAAAGGGCACATCCCTTACCTTCTTGTCCGTTTTGAGCCAGGCTATCGTGTCCTTCATCATGTACTGCAGCCCAAAGAACCATGTTTCACGGAGTCCCAATGTCCTACACACCAGGTCGAAGAGGTCCTTTCCTTTCCATTTCACCTGCACCAAGAAACAAAGTTAGGAACCAAGTTGCCTTCAGTTTGTTCTGCTTCCGCCCCAGTTGGGATTTGTGTGTGTGTGTGTGATTTAAATGGTTTCATAGTTTAATCTAGTATGAGAAAATTCCATAAATGTGTAAGATGATCTATGCTAAAGTAGAGCAAATAACTTTTTAACTTGGCTACTAGCCTTTTATTCTTTTTTTTTTTAAATAAAATAAAGTTTAAGTTTCATATATTTAAAACATTTAAAAAGAAACAAACATATAAACAAATATATATACCTATGAGGAATAAAATAAAACCTATGAGGAAAATGATGATGGCAGATGAGATTCTGCCGAAACGTTGCTACAACTTTAAAAGCACAACTACAATGACGTGGGAAAATACCCGAACAAAGCTGAATGCCATACATGTAAGTACCC